CTTTTTTCAAAAAACAGTTTTTATTGAACTACGGTTACCCCTTTCAGTAACCCTTAAAACAATTTCGTGCAACTAAAGAAATGGCTTAAATGAATTATCATGTACAAAAAATGTCTATAACCTCTATAAATATGATATTACAATAATGTTCAAAATGACCCCCATTTTCTTCAATACACATTCGGTACCGTTTAAATAAGGAAAAGCGAATGCCCAGAAAAATCATATTTTTCTGACGAAATTGATTTGTAGCTTCAATTATTCTAACCCTCAATTGTTGTTCGTCCTCTATTTTTACAGAATACACTTTCTCTTTCATAAACCCCCAAAAGCAAAAGTCCATGGGTTTAAGACCTGGACTTCTGGGGGGCAATAAATAGGTGCGTCACGACCCCTTCCAATCCACCGACCAGGATACTGCCTGCAAAGGTATTCCCGGACTTCATTAACGTAATGCGGTGGAGTGTCATCTTGTAGAAACCACATATTTTGCCTTATTGCAATATTCACTTCTTCCAAATACTCTTGTAAATCGTTTGCCAAGAACTGCAAATAATTATCACCATTTAAATTTTTGGGAAGAAATACTGGGCCTATTAGATTGTTATCCACAATTCCTGCCCAAACATTAACTTTGAAAGTCCTTTGGTGATGAGTCGTTTTTTTTTTGGCGTGAGGATTTTCGTCGGCCCAAATGTGCTCGTTATGGTTTGTTATTCCATTTCTACTGAAGGTAGCCTCGTCGGTAAACAAAATATTTCTAATAAAATTAACATTTCGAGTGTTTTCCATTAAACAACCAATCGCAAAATCCAATCCTTTTAGGATAATCTTCAACCAATAACTCTTGAACCGTTGTTAAGTGATAGGGTTTAAGCAGCTGATCCTTCAAACGCCTCCAAACCCTAACGTGAGGAACATTTAGTTGAGAAGCTATTACCCTTGTACTTAGCCCAGGGACTTCTAAAATGTCTTCATCACTTGCATCCATTATTGGACGACCACTATAGCCAGCAACTTACAAAATATGGAATATATGCACCCCTGACCAGTCGTCTACCAAATGAAAGCACCCCTTCTCCGGATGAGTTCAATTGGTGAACAAAACATTGGGATGCCTTGCGGAGTCAGGGAATTCGAGTGAAAAAACAGGAACGAAAAACGATAAGAATCACTTAAAATAAAATCTAGAGACAGTATTGTAAAAAGACAAAATATAGGATGATAAAAGTGCAGGTATGTAGCCTGACAAAGAGGAATGTAAAAATAAAAAAGGGGTACACTAGGTCGTAAAATCATCGTACGTAATATAATTATAGATCTAGCTGTAATTGGTGCCTTCTATTCCATCGTGCGGCTGAATTGCAAGGGCATATGACCGCAATATATGTAATCTGTTACCTCATCCACCCTGTTCCTAACTCGCCCTTTGTTCTGCATGGCTTTATGTTGCGTGTTATCGCTTCTAATTTTGATATTAGGTTGTTCCGTTTTCTTTGGAAAAGAGTGCAAACAAAAATGCTGTATTCTGCGTCGTCTATGACGCCGCAACCTATGTACAAATCATTTGTGGTCTTCTTTATTGTATACTGTACGACCTGGAGCCGTTGCCGGTGAGAAATAGTGTAAAATAATAATGTATCCTTCTGAACTTACATTTGGACCATGTAACCACATCAGAGATTAATATTTTGGTCCATTTAGCCTTCATCGTTTGTGCCACACACATATCATCTGATAAGCATAGCAGTGGCGCAGCCAGAATTTGTCTGAGGGGGGGGGTTAAAATTTTTTTATGCTACCTCCATTTTGAGTCCCTAAAATTTGGGTTTTAGTTTAATTTAAAGTACTAAAGATAGCAGTGCCAAAGATTCAGGTATCTATTATCCTGCCTACCAACTAAAACCACCCTTTCTTACTTGTGCCCAGTTGACTGTCGCACGTATCGTACTCCCAAAGTGGGGTGGCCGCTGTAAGGCTGACGATATTTTTTAAACACTCCCTTCTCTTATATATTGTTCTGAAGCTATTTTCTTGTGGCATTTTTTTTAAAGTAATTACTATTTTAATGGGAATAAGCCACAATTGAAGGTTAAAATAAGTTTATTGACGTTTGACATTAATCCAACTTGTAAATACACCACATTTTGGAGACGGCTATCGCCGTATTTCCGTTCTCCTCCGCCAATCCTCCAGGTCCAAGGCATGCTCCTCCTCCAAACGCTCTTCTCATTCCATAAGCGTCGAGGTCTACCTCTTCTTCTTCTTCCAGGGGGCTTCCATTTGTGAAGTTTTTGGGCCAACGTTCGTCAGGCATTCTCAATAGGTGTCCAAACCATTTTGAACCTCTTTTTTTCTATTTTGTCAATGATCGTTTCTGTAGTATTCATGTTATTTCTTATAGATTCGTTGGTCTCTCTTCCTGCCTTGATGTTCTAGTACTTCTACTCAAATAATCAATTTCAACTGTCAACAAGCTTCTTCAGGTCTGCATTAATTGTCCATACTTCAGAGCCATAACAAAGAACTGATTCAACCATGGTTTGCCCTATTCCTTTTTTGTTCCTTTTGAAAATGTTGCGATCCCACAATAAGGAGTTCAGACATCCTACAATTTTACTTCCCTGATTAATTCGGTGTTTAATTTCGGTTTCTCCCAAGCCGTTTTTAACAATGAGTGCACCTAAATCTTTAAATTTTTCCACTTGTTTGATTCAAACGTCAATAAACTTATTTTAACCTTCAATGTCGGCTTATTCTCATTAAAATAGTAGGTATTTAGATCTTGTCTCTGTCGTTGACCCGGTTGGTGTTTCTCTTCTTCTTTTTTTTAATGACTGCTCGAACGTAATTGTTCTATTATATTCCATCCCTCCGTACTTCACGTCTCGTCCCGTTATCTTCACGATCATCTCTCTTACAGTCACAGGGTTCATACCTATTTCTTTATAAATTCTGTTTCTCTCCACTGTACATTTATTACACTCCAGCATTGTGTGAGTAACAATGTCGGAATATTCGCAGTATGCATTTATCTGTATCTATAATCTAAGTCCCTTAGGCTTGGGATCAGCATCTTGGTCAACATCTTCCTTGTTATTCCACTCTTCTTGCCATTTTTCCATTGATCTTTCCCTTTCTTCTTTTTTTATAGCTGTTGTCAAATGCTCTCTTTTCTCATAGAGATGTCTCTTTTCTACTGCTAACACATGCAGAGAAACACAACCCGTTATAGTCCACAAGGCCGCCGCAGATACAGTCCTGTAGGTAGGCGCATACTACTCGCAACAGACTCGTTCTATCTACTTTTTCATAAGCCTTATATTAGGTATCTATATCTAAATATAATGAAAAATATAATTAATTATTGTGTATTTATTCAATAATTATTGTGTTTTACATATTTAAAGTGGTAATTTAATTATTCAATTAGCTTTTTGGATTTTTTTGTATTGTGTGAAAGACAAGTTACATTTTCCTACTGTTCTTTACATATTTGTTACTTTATATGCCCTGAGTGGTTTTAACCCCAAACCCCCCTGGGTGCGCCACAGACGCGTAGTAACAAATTTTTACGATATCAACTAACCATCTTTCGAAGCAGATGCCCCCTAAATATTTTCTAGATATGCTCACATTGAGATTTGAGATTTTCAGAAAACTTATTCGTAATGGATAAAAATTTCACAAACCATTAAGACACTTAATTTGAATTAAATTACGTTAACAAAAGTAGAAGTATCCCGAATAAAGTACGTGCCTCCTAGTGGCGGGATACGAGCAACAATACATGTAAAGTAGGCTTTGGAATTAACGAAAGCTAGAAATGATATGCTGAAATTACCAACAGCATTAGATATAGTGATTGTTATCACATTCTTTAAAAAAAATAATCTCAACTTATTCCGTGCAAAAGTGGACAAAATCACTCACAAATAGATTATTTTATGACAAGAAAAGAAGATATGCGTAAAAGTGAGACGGCTCACAACGCCGGCCACAAACTAAGCCAACATAAGTTACTTTGTGCTGGACCTCGAAGTAAAAAAGCGAAACTAAACCGAAATATCGAAGAGTATCCCAAAAATCAAGTGGTGGATGTTAAAAGATGAGAAAAGTCTATTCAAAGCAAAGATGGTAAAAAAAGTGCCGGGACATGAAAGGAAGTCAATACAATTTGGAAGAAGATCGAGCGAGTATCATTACAGGTAAGTACTGCTATTGAAATGCTTAAAAAAATCCTTAGGAAAGAAATTTGAAAATAAGGAGAAAACGGAGGAGAGAAAATTATATAAACAATGGTACAAAAATAGGTAGGACACAGATCTTCAAAACTCTACTGTCGCCAAAAAGGGAGCGAACCTAGCAGAAGCGTATGCGAATGTAAACGATCAACTTGATAACAGAGAAGTAGAAATAAAGATATAATAGCCACAAATAGAGCAAAGAAAGCAAAAGATATAACAGGTGAAAATAATAAAATTCCAAGTTCAAGGAAGGAATGTCAAAAAGGAATGGAAAAGCATTATATTTAAAGTAATATTATGAAGTATTTTGTTAATATTCTATTGGGTACTTATTTTTAGTTTGGAAAATAGTAATTATTTCTATGAATTAAAGTAATTTTTAATTTTTTTTTTGTAAATCCATGGTAAATCCACAGTTTTCTTTACACATTACTTAAGGTGTTTGTAGCGCCATCTACTAGTAAAACAACAAATACAATTAAAATCCGACAGATGAAAGAAAGTTGGAAATGTTGAAATCTTTATGTTCATAAATTACAGATTTCTACTAAAAAAAATACAAATTTAGATGTATTAAAATATTTTGTAATTATATTTTACCTTTATTATTTCGAATATCTTAATTAGATCTAAGTAACAACATTGAAAATTAGTACTAACTTACCTTATTTGCAAAATTTAATAGGTTCTAAAAAGTTTTGGATGTTTTATAAAATAAATAAAATGGTTAGTTCCTGTATGTTGGCACTGTTGGCAGCACTGTTCTTTTTCAAACGTCAGTAGCTTGAGTAAGGTAGGTAAATTTTTATTTTTTTAAAATACACTAACATCCTTTAAAATAATAAAGAAAAGGATTTATTTTTACTTGTAATTAATAGTTTAAAGTTAGTTTTACATTTTTAAATATATATTTTATACATAAAGTAATTTTTACTTCGAGCAAATTAATTTTTGGGATTTATAGGTTATGAATACTGTTTTGTTTTAACTTTCAAGCTTGACATTTTTCTTTCAATACACATTCTTATTATATTAATGTATTTTGTTTTATTCTAGTTAAGTATGGCCAAGCAGAAGGGTGATAAAAAAGGCAAATCTGCCATAAATGAAGTAGTAACTAGAGAATATACCGTAAATCTTCACAAGAGGTTACATGGTATTAGTTTCAAAAAACGTGCCCCTCGTGCTATTAAGGCTATTCGTCAATTTGCTTTAAAACAGATGGGTACCCCAGATGTCAGAGTTGACACGAGACTTAACAAACAACTATGGTCTAAAGGAATAAGGTAAGTTAATGTGTAATTAATTAAACTATTATAGTAAAATTTATTCCTCATAATTGATTGGAACTCAACAATTCTTTTATTATTTTAAACACTTGATTTTTTGATTGAATAAATTTTGATTTGTGATCATGTATAAACTGACTTTTAGGGTATCAAGTCTTTACTATTGTTTATTCATGCTATACATTTACATAACATAATATTTTCTCCATATATTAGCCAAAAAAGTTTTTTCTTGAAAGATTTTCAATAACAATAGAAGTTGTCTAGCTCTGGCAGATGTTTTTTTAGTAAGTGGGTCAGATCAATTTTTTTAAACAATTCACATGAAACAAAATTGAATTTCTTTATATGACAATCATATACCTTACAATTCATACTTTTCTATAAGTGCCATCTCCCAACCAAAGGTTAGATATCATCATTACGCTCATTACTCTATATACCACTGCTTAGAAAAGTTATATTGAACTGCATTTAAAGCAGTCCCTTATATATTCATGACACTCTCCTTCTAATTTCTACCCGTTATTACATGTCCTAAATATTGTAATTTTCTTATTTTTATTGTGTTTATTATTTCTAGTTCATACTGTCTATGGCTTAAATAACAATTTTGTTTTTAAAGTTACTAGTTTGTTGAATCAAGTTACTGATTTTGCAACATTTGTTTATACTTTTTATCTAGATGTTATTGTGTTATTTTTTTTTATCGCCATTTAAAGGGATGTTTCTAGTCTCCTGTTAATATATTAGATGTTGATTTTTTCAGATTAATAAAATTATATATATGAAAGGTGTTAGCAGGGTAAACTGTGTATTGTATATTTGAGCTAAATAAGTTTTTTTTCTCACTAACTTTCTTATGGTGCCTATCCATTACAGATGTTGGCTACTAGCATGGCAATTCTAATTTTATTGACCACAGCTCGAAATATTCCCGAAGTGGTCAAGGAAAACCACTTCTAAGTTCTGGAGCCAAGATATTCTTCTTCCTGGTCATCTCTTTCCATAGACCTCTTCTTGTAATATAAGTTGCAGCAGGTTATATCTATGATCATTTTGCATTATATGTCCAAAATATTCTAGCTTGCGTTGTTTCGCTGTGGATATAATTTCACATGTTTTATCCATCTGACATAGAACCTCAATGTTTGTTATTCAGTCCACCCGGGAGATCCTCAGTATCCGTCTATAACATCACATCTCAAATGCCTCTAATTTTCCCATGGATGCCTCAGTTAGTATCCATGATTCAACCCAATAGAGCAGCACTGTAAACACATATCATCTCAATAAACGGATTTTCATTTTTAAGGGTAGGTTGTGGCTCTTAAATATCTTGCTCATTCTGACAAACACTGACCTGACTTTTTCAATTCTTTGTTTTATCTCAACTGAGTGGTGCCATTGATTGTTTATGGTGGTTCCCTAAATAGTAGTAACGGGGCACTTGGAGTATTTGTTCTGATCTACCAGTAATTGACTAGGTGGAATATGCTTTTTACTGATGACCATGTACTTTATTTTCTTGATGTTAAAATCAAACCCACACTCCTGACTGATTCTTCACAACTGCGTTACTAGTGTCTGTAAACCTTCTAAACTGTCTGCAAAGAGGATGGTGTTGTCTGCATATCTGATGTTATTCAGGCGCTCACCATTTATGAGAATACCCTCTTCGATACGCTCTCTGGCTCATGACGTTCCGAATAGAAGATCTTACTCCTCTCTTTATTGCAACTTCCTCTGTTTGGTGGTCTTTCACTCGAATGGTTGCTGATTAATACGATGCTTTTCGCATTTTTTTGCATTAGGTTTTTTAGGTATAGCAATAAATGTAGATTTTAACCAGCTCTCTGGGATTTTTCCTGAGTCATAGATTTTATTGAATGTTGTTGTAAGCTATTTTACTCTTTCTTCCATGTTTTTTAGAAATTCTGGATGAAAGTTGTCAGGCCCTGGTGCTTTACCTGCTTTGATTGCTTTAGTTGTGGCTTTGACTTCGTCTTGAGTGATTGGTGGTGCTGTGTTGTATTCCATAATTATCCTGTTGTTATATCTGTCGTCATCGAATGTCTTCTCAACATACCTCTTCCATATATCCTTTGTTTGTTCAATATCTATTACTGGGTAGCCATGATCATGTCGTATGTCCTGATCTCTTGGGTTTGTACATTCCTGCTTTTACCTTCTTGTATAGATTAAATGAGTGGTGTCTACTTTCCAATGATTCTATTTTTCTGCATTGATCATATTTAGGATTTTATCAGTAATCCACTCTTTCTTTTTAACCATTGTTGGGCAAAGATATTTATCTAGGATTGTATGGTTAATTTGTTGTATTTTTGCAATTTCAATATCTGGTTCATTAGCTTTATCTGTCTAAACACAAATGTGATTAAATCTTTCTTTGAGTATGAAATGCAGTATGTTTTTACATATTTCTTAATTTTTGCTATGAAAAATAATGCTAAGTGCTTATTTCTTTAAATCCTTGAAAAACAATGTTCATTTTTGAATATTTGATCTAGTCTATGTAACAATAAATGTCAATTTCTACATATTTAAGTTACTATTACATTTAGTTTAACTGTTCCCTTGTTCCTTTTTTCTCTGAACTCTGTACCTTTAAGGAATGTAGGAGAAGCTTACTCATTGTATTTTATTTATTTTATCACTGATATAATTCTTTTACCACTGTAAATGTCTCCAATTTTATACATTAGCCACTACATTTTCTTATAGTTGAACATGTTTCCCAGAGGCTGAATATAAGTTTGGATATGGTCTTAGATGACCAAAGAAAAAATCATATTTGTCTTATTAATGCTTGGCAAATGGAAATCAAGTTTGTTTCTTTTCTTCCTTTGCTTTGCTTTCTCACATTTGTCATAGTTAAAAATCAAGAATTACTATAGTACATCATAAATGATTAAAAATTTTTATTTTAGTTCTTTGGTGTATGTTTTTACATGAATATTTTTTTTGTTTCAGGAATGTTCCTTTCAGAGTACGTGTACGTCTTTCCAGAAGGAGAAACGATGATGAAGATTCTGTGAACAAATTGTACACTCTTGTAACATATGTTCCAGTAGCAACATTCAAAGGTTTACAGACAGAAAATGTTGACGCAAGTCAAGAATAACTTTAATAAATATTTTTAGTTATTTTGTTTTTTTTTTTTTTTCAAAATCCTTATAAGTGATAATTTTAACAAAATAAATCAACTCTGGGTTAGTAAGTTAATTAACAGGCTATAAAAGTTGAGTAGGATAACGTGATGTGGGTGCTAACTCAAAAAAATTACTGCTTACTACTAAGTATTTGAGATTAGGTTAACAAATGTGGATGTCTGATCCTGAGACTTCTACTCTAAACTCTGAAAAGTTATTTATTAATAAAACTCTAATAAGATAATTAATAAACGTTTATTTGTAATTGAAGGGGTGAGTGGATAAAGGGAGTAAGTAACAAAAGTAAGTTTTTGAGAAATTTAACTCCAAAGTTTTATTGCTGGAACTTTTTTATTAATTGATTTTTTAAACCGATTTTTTTTATTCTCACAGGTAGGATATGTATAAATTTTATTGTAAAATCAAAAATCCTCCCCGATTTTTAAAAACTTATTGGAAAAATATATATTTGTACTTACCTCTTTTATCCAAAAACTTTTTTGTGTTAGAAATTGTCTATGCCAAAATGAAGGTTGTATGTGGACTTACCTCCTTTATCTAGGATAAATATTTGCATTTTCTTTTGTATGAGCGCTATAATCAGGAAAAAAATAACATGGATGTCAAGTAAACACCTATATTTTTGGTTTTACAAAGGAACGACAAACACTGAATTTCTAAGCAGCTTTTGATTTAGTTTAAGCACCAGTTAAAGTTTTACCACCTTCTTAAAATTTGTGTTGCTCTATGATGGCTTCATAATACCACTTATCCCATTCTGGAGTTGCAAAGCTGTTCTTTTAGATTGTCTACCTTTTCTTTGCTTAAGGATTCAGTATTTTGGATATTTCTTGGAATGTTGAATTCTTCAGGTAGAAGGGATGGGAAATTTTTCTGCTTGAGGATACATACCATTTTGAAAGGTGTGTAGTAATCGTAAGACTCCTTGAAAAGGTATGATCCAGACATCTACGCGAATCCACTTGATTCCAGTTTTGAAATTAACCTTTTCATTAAGAAGATCCTTTTTCTATTCATTAGTTTCATGGTTTTCATATTTTCCGTGTCTCTAAAGTGATGTTGCATGTCTATCACCATATTTTTCTTGGTTGAAGAAACAATCATACCACGATATTCATCAAGGATGTTAATGTTTTGATGTTTCTTAGTCGTTAGTCGTTTCTCAATACGTCCAAATCCGAATCTAAGTAGGAGTGTCCTACCTCTGGAAACTTGTGCTCAATCGTTTTAAAGATGCCTTTGCCCACAAGATACTGAAACAAACATACTATCAAACAATTTTTATTTTGCCCGGCACACGAGTCCGTCCACAAAATTAGATGATCTTTTCCTTTGAAGGCTGGATTCACTTCAATTGTTAGTAAAAAACAACTAAAAATTTCCGAGCTACCGCTGGAAGCTTGATTTTCCGTCCATGTGCAGAAAACAGTTCATTTCCACATTTTTGGTAATATGTATGTGGATTTCTAAGTTGTAAAACCACATTTGTCTAAGAGGCTTTCGAGGTACTAAGCCTAGGTAGAGGCATAGTTTGCTGTAGATCCAATGTTACATACAGTGTTATCTGATTTGCTAGCAAATTCTCTATCTGCTTTTTGAGATTCAAACGCTGATTTGTAATTTTCAGCGTGCTCTTCAATACTTTTGCCAGAATCGCATGTGTTACATGTATCGCTTCTGGGATAACCGAAAGACAGATTAAATTCATTATTAAAAATGAATCGGTATGTAGCCTCTTTTATTTTAAATTTTTCATTTCTTCCGTCAGTTTGGCATTTGTCTAGGTAAAGTTTATGCATTCTAGGGATCGAAAGTTGAGGTGAAAGATATTTTTTGGAAATATTACATTGCCTGGAGTAGTGCGACTCTTCTGCTGGGAAACTGGAAATATGCTTAATGACGTAAGCAGCAACTTCAGCAGGAGTCTTGTTTAGATCTGACTTGGTGGTTTCCCCTTCTGTCCGGTTCAGGAGCATTTTTCACTGATTTTATTGAAGTGTGGATCAGGTTAACCTTTTTCAAGCTGATTGCAAACAAGGAAATGAAAGCTGGTTTGCATACGGTAGTTTGCCGGCCACTACAAGTTACATTGTATTGGTAGGTGGCAGTTTTATGCTTTAATGCTTCAGTTTTCTTTCTCATTGGTTCCCTTTTTGTAATTCTCTTAAAAAGAAAGCAGTTTTTTGCATTTACATCTAGTTTGTAGTAGGAAGAAAATATTGATTCCCTTTCTTCTACAGTTATTGACTGAGAACACTTGTACGGCAATTTCCATTGCACAAAATCCCAGAGTTAACGGTTTTAGCGGGTTTTACTTGGCCTATTTTAGAAATGTAAGCCAGACCTCTTTCTCTGCACTTGGAACGTTTTCGTGCTTTCCATTCTTCAATGTTTTTTTGTCGTTTTCTAGTTACTTTTACTTTTAGTGGAAATATTTTTTTCTTGGTTTTAGTGGGCAAATTAAGAGCCTCTTTATTTCCATTTTCAGGAAGAGCAATGATCTCATCATATGGAATATTTCCATTTACTTGTAGTTCAAAATTTATATTGCCATCATTCATAATCTCATTTTCAGTTTCTTATTTCACCACTTCCTTATTGATATTGCCTCCCTCATTTCCATCCTCATCTGATTCGATATCATCTTTCTCATTTTCATTAGGAACGTATTCATCTCTTGAGTCATCACTAAATAATGATGAAAGGCTTTCATTATCTGAATCAAGTTTTTCTCCGTAATCTAAAACAGAACATTAGCATAAGCCTAAATTTGCCTGTTTTAATTTCAGCTGTTAAGAAAAACAAAACATTAGTTATTAATCTGGTCTGCTGATTTAAGTTCCTGTTGACACTCAATGATTAACAGAAAATAATTCATGTTAAATAAGCTAACTACCACATTTGAAGGCAACAATCACGTGGGTTGGATCGTGTAATTGGTTAAGACACTTACCCAGAGTGAGACATTCGGGTTCTAATAGCACCTTACCATTTCATTAGATTTTTTTAACTAGCCCATTGTTCAAATAATATGTATCTCTAATGTACTTACGTAGTTTTTAAATAAATTTTTTTAAATTTAAAGCAAAATACTTGAAACTACTAAAGAATAATACCGTACCTCGGAGGTAAAGGACACTATGTCCATTTTTTTACTTTTTAAGGAGAGCAGTTTTAACATGTTTTAAATTTGTAATCAGTAAATACTTAAATGTTTCTGATATTAAACCAAAATTAATATATTACATTAATTTTGGTTAAATATCAGAAACATTTAAGTATTTACTGATTACAAATTTAAAACATGTTAAAACTGCTCTCCTTAAAAAGTAATAAAATGGACATAGTGTCCTTTACCTCCGAGGTACGGAATATTTACCTTTTATCTTGGTTTCATTACCACCAACTTCTTCTGTAGTAGTGAATTCCTGTTGTAATTGCTGTAAAGCCAAGTCTGCCAAAAATTTTCCCCTAGAACTAGTCATAATAAATCACTTTATAACTAATCAAATAAACTAAAACAGCTAAGAACACTAACACAAGCAGTAGCGAGGGTGGCACTTGCACAACTTTAATTTGTTGTCATCTGACGAATACTTGAAGGAGGTATGTCACAATTTTTATTCTCTGTGGTATGGATGAAGGAAGTAAGTACTTTATCTTGTTACTTACCTCCTTCATTCACTAGATAGTTAAAGTAGTATGGTCAATTACCTCCTTCATACGCTGGCTATCTCAGTTATTTTAAATCATAGAAGGCTGGGGATAAGTGGAATATTTAATTTAGCACTTACCACCTTCATCCATGCGGATAACTCATTTTCTTAAAAAATGTCACTTACTCCCTTCATCCACTCACCCCTTCAATTATTATCATAATTATAGTGAAACAACAAAAAAAATTTGCATGGCTGACATGTATGCCACCAGATAAGATAAAGGTACTTACACCAGGAACAGATGGTGACATGAATGTCACAGGGAGAAGATTTATAATATGTTGTCCTTTTATACAAACAAAAAGAGCTAATATATTATGAAGTAAAATACTCATTAAGTCTTGTAAAAATTTGCAAAACATGTTCCAACACACAAGCCTGGTTTTCCTGACACGAGGAAATGGTATAATGATAGAACTCTTTATTTTGGGAGCAGTATCTACTAGGAATGTAAGAAACATCTAATTTCAACTCATCTATCTCACTATCACTTTTTAGCAAGATGTTCAATAGTTCTTCACTAAAATTTTTTGTAAGGTATTTCACATGATTTAGAAATTTTAGACTGCAATGGAACTGCTTACAAATTTTCACACATTTTTTTTTTATAATATATTTGAATTGCCATTTGCAAAGAATTGCATGTCTTAATGTTTTTTCAACCTTTCTTGATTTTATCTCTTGGGTAACCCCAAGTTTTTCAAACTTTAACCTTTTTGGAGCTATACTCTTTATCCTCATTATTTATGAGTCTTCAGTTGTGTTTTCGTTAGCATTCTGCCACATTTTCATATACAATGTACTTTGTTTAATACTACATACTTTGTTTAATATTATATTCACTACATTCCTTTTTTGTTCTTGCTATTAGTACTGCATTGTCGGCAAACGTCAGAACCTGACTTCTGTCTGTCATAGTTAATTATTTTCATAAGTATTCACTTTTCCTTATTATTGCCTCCAGCATAAAATTTAAAAGTACTGTTCATAATGAGTCCTTGTTTTTATCCATTTTGGGCTTCAAAATTTCTTGTCAGACTTTCTTTTATCCTTATTCTACCGTTAGTTTTCAGTAGTGTCATTTTTACTAACCTAATAATTTTTTCTTGAATTTCAAGTGCTCTTAGAGCTCAGTACAGACATTATCGCTGAATCGTAAGCTTATTTGAAGTAGTAGAAGCAAAAAGAGGTTAAGGTTTAATTGTTGTTTGTATGTACTACTCTGAATCATTTTTAGCACAAACATATCGTGGATTTGTCTTTTTTAAAGCCTCCCTGCTATTCACCAACTTGTTCGTTTAAATACCAGTATAGTTGATTTCATATGACTGGCAAGTACTTTGTAATACTACATTTTCCATATTGTCTTTCTTTTTATGGATGGGACATACTATTGCTTCTTTCCGTTTCCTCTCTTTCCTAGTTTCTGATCAGCAGCTGCATATAGGGATTATAAGTAGGCTCTTCTCAGGCTTAATTAGCTCTGAGGGGATGTCATTGCAACCTGCACTTTTATTGTTTTTCATTACTTCTCTATGGTTAGTGTCTCCACTACTTCCTCATGATCATTGCCTTTCCATATTACTCTCAGTTGCTCCTCATCATTACCATCCAGTTTCCAAACAACTGGCTGAAATTCTCTTGCCATCTAACTTCCTCCTCTTATTTCCTATTAGGGCCCGTCTTTGTCCTAGGTGTCCCCCAGACGATTGTGCAATATAAAAAATCGCTAATATTGAAGATTTCGCAATGATTTAACGAGAAAGGGAGGAAGTTTGAGGGAGCTTAATTTTTATTGTGCCATATTTCTCCATTGCATCGTGTAGGGTCAGTATTGTGCAATCATTTTTAGTCTATACTTTGTCGTGTGCACAATGCACGTGAGAGCAAATTATTCTTTGACTGAACACGAAAACATTGCGCAGTTAGTATTATTGTGCAATATAATTGAACGTTTGGAAAGAAAGTGCCATTCAATCTTTCGAGGAACCGCCATATAGTATTTCTGGACTCTGGACCTTACATAATTTTTGAAATTGAAGAATATTAATTTGATATTATATATCAAGTTCGTATTTGAATTCCGAGCAGTAAACACGTACTCATATCGCTCTCGAGATTCAAGTTTCAAGTTTTTCTGCCGGCCTCGGCTATCGGCCGGGACTAGTTTATTGCTGATAATTAGTGAAATAAAAATAAAAGTAAATAACTATTCTTAAGTGATTAATTTTAAATAACTATTTATGCGATTAATTTTTAACCAGTGGCGCACTATTATTATACTAAGGAAATGTACCACCAAAATTTACAAAATCAAGTGCCAAATGGGGAGTTGTATAATGTGCCCCAAATATATACCCAGCCTCAACAACCTCCAATAATATCGCCCCCATTCTATGGGTTCCCGAGCAATGTCCAACATTAACATTAAAATCTTCGAAAGACTACTACTTGATAGACTGAAGAAGGACATTAACCTAGACGCAGAAATACCCACACACCAGTTTGGTTTTAGAGAGAGACATTCCACAACACAACAGACTCATAGAATTATAACAAAAATCCTTACTGCTATTGAGGAAAAAAAAATATTGTACAGCGGCATTCTTAGATGTAGAAAAGGCGTTTGATAGAGTATGGCACACTGGACTCTTATACAAACTCAAAAGCATTCTTCCAACTCCCTACTACCTAATTATGAAATCCTACATTGAAGATCGTTACTTCCAAGTAAAATATAATACAGCATACAGGCGTACCACAGGGTAGCGTCCTGGGTCCTCTCCTTTACCTATTATTTACCGCAGATATCCCAACCACTGAAACAACCCAAATTTCAACGTTCGCTGATGACACCACCATAATCGCTGTCAACGAGGACCCCATTATCGCGTCTGCACAACTGCAAAACCACCTTAACCAATTGGGAACATGGCTCAACAAATGGAAGGTGAAAGTAAATTAAACGAAGTCATCCCAAGTTACATTTACAAACCGAAGGGATGTATGTCCAACAATCACATTAAACGATACACAATTACCAGTCAGCACACAAGTTAAATATTTGGGACTAACCCTTGACAAAAGATTAACATGGAAGCCACACATTCAAGCCAAGAAAACCCAGATATACATCAAAATACGACAAATGAGCTGGCTTATGGGTCGAAAATCAAAACTCAATACTGAAAATAAACTGCTCCTGTATAAATCTATGATAAAACCAATTTGGACCTATGGCGTTCAACTCTGGGGTTGCTCAAAGCCATCAAGATAATACAAAGAGTCCAATCAAAAATATTGAGAATAATATTCAACGCGCCCTGGTATGTAAGTAATAAAACCCTACACGAGGACTCAGCTACACCTTTGGTAGAGGAAGAAATTCAAAGGATCACAAAGAGCTACCTTGATGGTCTGAGAAGTCATCCAAATGATGAAGCAAGACTGCTAAACGCTCCTCCCGAATTCGCAAGACGACTGAAGAAACAATGGCCAACAGATTTAATAAATTAAATATATTATGATCTAATGTAAAAAATATAATAGGAGAGTTGCCACAGGGCAGCTTCTCCCTCATGTATTTAACATTCAAACTATTTACTTATAGCTTCGATGAAGCAGATTGTAAATTAAATTATGCTATAAAAAAAAATATTATATATCAAATCAATTTTATATATATATATATACACACACATACTTTATGATCTTTACCTTATATTCCATTCTTAACACCAAAACTTCTCAAATTATTTAAAGGATTAGAAAACATAAAAATTGCCACCAGAAATGTTAAAACCATAGCACAATTATACACTAAAACTAAAGATCCTTTAACAACAAACAACTGATGAAAGTTCTAGAGTAGTGTATCAAATTCCTTGCTCAGACTGTGATAAAGTTTATACAGGAGAAACTTCTCGAACATTACACAGCAGAATTATTTCTCATAAAAGTGATGTAAAAACTAAGAAATCACAAGCTTGTGCATTAGCTGAACACTCCATCAATCTAAATCACACATTTAATTTTTCACAGGCTTCAATTCTAGAGAGACAGAAACGGTTATTTTTAGAAATGACACATATACAAAAAAATAAAAAATGTGTAAATAGAAGATCAGATATTGACAAATTAAGTAACATTTATTGTTACATATTAACATATCAATAAATACCGTCAAAATCTCATTTTCTATTGACATCCTAACATTAAAAATTCATATGTGCTTAAGCCAAACTGCTGACTGGATTAATTTATATTTTTTATAGACAATTAAATAAATTATAATAAAAACTATTGTTACTGGTTTTGCTTTCCACATAAAGTAACTGTATTTTCATTCATATATGTCCATTAATCAAACCATGACAATGACATATATAGTGACAATATAGTTATTTTTAATAAAAAAATTTTATTATATTTATTATGGTTTGTTTTGTAGAGTACAATTTTAAAAACTGTAATCTCACGACTAGTAAGTAAGACAATTAACAATTTTAACTAGTTAATTTATATTTCTTTTTATAGATGTCTTGAAAAAGAATTAAATATAATTCGAAAGCTTGACAGTAAGTCAAAGAGTTTTCTTTGTCTTGTGGGCCAAATAAACTGACTGCATCCTCAAAAATCATAACTTATATTTAAATCAACAGTCAAGAATACCACCATCTTATATATATATATATATATATATATATATATATATATATATATATATATATATATATATTATATATATTATATATAATCAATTTTTTAAGCTTCTTAACCAGATGTTGTTCTCTTTCCTGACTCCTTTACGTTTTTTAGGATTTCTTCTCACAGATTCAAAACTATATTAAAATATTAAATAAAAAAGTTTCACATAAAAAAATTTACTGTAAATATTTCAGCATAATATATAAATAATAAATATAACAAACACATACAAAAAGCTTTTAAAAATTAAATTAATTTTGTAGGTTGAAAATGCTGATAGTAACTTCTAGTAAAATCGACCATCAAATCTGCTTGACATTCAGGCAAATCTCCAATATAAGAACCTGGAGAGCCTCCATATCTTGTAAATGGTGGTATAACAGTTTCTGGTGCCAAGACAGTATTATCTTCAATGACACAACAATCTTTTAAGATACACCTTCTGCCCTATAATTAAGAATATACTATTAATCGATTGCACACAATATTAAAAACATTTTACAAAAACTAAAACATTTAGAATATCGGTTTCTGATTTGTTTGTTAATTGTATCAGTTAATTATTGCTAGAGAACTAATCTTTATACAGTAACACACCAAAGTTTGGTCAAAGTTTTATGACGCATACTTCAATAAGTACTCCATAAAAGTAAAATATTTTAAATCTATTGGATAGTTTTGTTTTTGTTTTGTAACAATTTAAAACAGTTTTTAATACTTTTGCGAGTTGTACTGCTTTTTTGTTGTCAGATATTTCCAAGAGCAATGGTAATCAGGCAATAATAATTGATTGTGTTATTGATATTGTCTATTGACGCCAATGAATCTGTATAAATTATACTATTTTTTTTTTGTATCAGTGATGCACTTTAGTGCTGTTGTAGCATTTTCTTTTCACTCTGTAAACCATAAGAACCTAACATGGTTCATATCCCTATTAAATATTAACTGTTTCAATTTTCAATTAGTTTCGTCTCTGTTTCGCCTGTAGAGGTTTAAAAACAAATGAGTGGAATTAGACCGGTAAATACGCATGGAATAAATAAAAATCTACTTAGAGATTTTTCATTTCATTCTCGTGGGAGAATATATTTTTACATGACTTCACTTTCCTTTGGACACAAAACTACACTTCCCCTTTCCAAAAATTAATTAGCTTAGGGCTAACCTATAAAAAGAAATAATACAACTTTTCTTGGTTTAGTCCTTTTTTAATCTCGGAGCAATATGCATTCAGACGTTGATATTTATGTTGTTTAAAGTTTTGTTTACTCACTAGCAATTCATTTCACACACCAATTTTTTGTCAATGGCGCCCCGCACATTCAATGCCAGGTTCCATACGGTCTCTGCCCTGTGTTATTCTTTCATCACTTTATTTTGTTGGAAGACGACGGCTGGTTTGGCGATTAGAAAAAGGTCATCCCAAATGCACTTCTTTTCTCTACGAATGTCATCGAACTATAATGTGAATGTTGACTAATTTATTGACTACTTTTGTTGTTTTACGAATAATTTCAGACGTATCTATTAATTACTGCTTGTAACTAAAGTAATTAAAGGTAAAGTCAATTATCTGGGTCATATAGTCAGTAAAGAAGGAGTAGCCGTGAATAAGGGAAAAGTCGATTCCATTAAGGAATGGCCAAAACCAACTGACAAACATTAAGTGAGAAGTTTTCTGGGGCTATGTACTTACTACAGGAGGTTTATTAGGAAGTTTGCGGATATCGCTAAACCATTAACGCGACTCACAGAGGAAGCAAGAGATTACCGCTGGGATACAGACTGCCAAAATGCCTTTGAGACCTTAAAAAAGCATTTAATCACAGCACCAATTTTAGGGTATCCACTGCCAGAAGGAGAGTTCATCTTAGATACAGATGCAAGTAATGTGGGAATTGGAGGAGTGCTGTCTCAGATTCAAGAAGGACAGGAAAGAGTCCTTGGATATTTTAGTAAAGTACTCTCAAAGCCTGAGCGGAATTATTGCGTCACGAGAAGAGAACTTCTGGCAGTAGTGAAATCAGTAGAGCACTTCTATCAATACCTCTATGGAAGGAAATTTTTAATCCGAACCGACCATGCCGCCCTTAAGTGGTTGATGCAGTTTAAGAATCCAGAGGTTCAGATAGCCAGGTGGATCGAAAGACTCCAAGAATACGATTTCAAGATTGAGCACCGGGCCAGAGTTAGCCATCGAAACGCTGATTCTCTTTCCAAAAGGCCATGCCCAGCAGAGTGTTCCCATTGCAACAAAACGGAATCCAAGGAAGCAGCAGTGCTAAGAACGACGATGGTTAACGACTACTGGACGCCGACTAAGATAAGGGAAGAAAAGAGAGAGATCCAGTTGTACAGAAAATTCGAAAATGGAAAGAGAAAAAACCGTCGACCACCTTGGCAAGAAATATCAAACCTATGCTCAGTAGTTAAGACGTATTGGGCCCAGTGGGACTCATTTATCATCGAAGATGGCTTGCTCAAACGAGTCCTCGAAAATGATGACGGTTCAGAGAAGAGAAGACAGTTGCTGATCCCAAAGAGCAGAATAGCCGAAGTACTTCGTCAGTTATACGACAGTTCCATCAGGAGGGCATTTTGGTGTAAAGAAGACCCTTCAGCGAATTCGGGAACGGTTTTATTGGATGAACAGTTCCGAAGATGTAAAAGACTGGTGTAAGAAATGTACTATTTGTGCTACGAGTAACGGGCCTTATCGAAAACGGAGATCTCCTATGAAACAATATAATATTGGAAGCCCGTTTGAAAGAATAGCTTTTGACATTGCTGGGCCATTTCCAGAAAGTGAAAATGGAGGCAAGTACATGTTGGTAGTAATGGATTACTTCACTAAGGGCCAGTTCTACAATCAAAGTATAAATTAGAGAACAGTTATTCTGAGTATAACTTACACTTGAGTTTATTCCAAGTATAACCTTTCGAGCATTCTACATTGTGAAATCGACAGCGGAATAGTTATTCTGGGTATAACCACAGAACACTAAGGTAAAACGAAATAATAGATCTGATATCCTCAATATTAGTTCAAATTGTTATCGACAGTGACATTTGGCAGTTGTCATAACTGTAAAATTTGTTTACAATTGAAAGTATTTTATCTACGTTTATATTATTATACTTTGCAAAATTAATATAAAATGGATAAAAAAAGATGTAACAATTTTACATATACAGAAATTGAATTCAAATACTACATCTAATTCATACCGAATTCTAAAAGTTTTTGGATGCCTTAGGTGCCTTAGCCTAGGTATTCCTTCTTCAAAATCTTCATCATCAGATTCAAAAATATTAATATTAACTGGATCCATATCAAAAATTTTATTTTATATATAAAAACAAACAAAACCACAGTTCAAAGATCAAGTGGCATAAAGTAACTAAAGTAAGGTTAAAATATCACAGATTTGACAACCCCTCGCCGACCAATAGAAATGCAGTATAAATTTATACTCGGTATATCTGCTTAACTTTGGAGGGATAAAGTTATTCTATAGATATACTCCGATTATCTTATTCCTAGTTTATTCTTTGTTTGTAGAACACCATTAATGAAGTTATTCCAAGTATAACTTTATTCCAGTATATACTAGTATTGTAGAACCGGCCCTAAGTGGGTCAAGATTTATGCACTTCCAGATCAGAAGGCCGCCACCGTTGCAGATAAGTTGATCCAAGAATATCTCAGCCGATTTGGAGTGCCTTTGGAGATCCTTAGTAACCAAGGCAGGAACTTCGAAAGCGATCTATTCCAAGGAATATGTGATAGACTAGGCATGAAGAAAACAAGAACTACGGCTTATCATCCGCAATCGGATGGTATGGTAGAACGGATGAATAGGACAGTTGGCAAGTATTTGACAAAGATGGTGTCCGATCATCAGCGAGACTGGGACCAATATCTTCCATTCTTCACAATGGCCTACAGATCTGCTGTTAACGAATCGATAGGCCAGACACCAGCCAGAGTCCTATTCGGACACGAGATGCGACTACCTGGTGATCTAGAGTTTGGGTGTCGACCTGGAGAAGATGTAGCAGGTGAAGATTATGTGATCGAATTACGAAGAAGAATGGACGATGTACACGGGTTGCTCGTTCCCATCTCCAGATCGCTAGTGACCGAATGAAGAAACGGTACCATACGCAAGCCGAAAAGGGGTGTTTTAAAAAGAACGATAAAGTCTGGCTCTATAATCCCAAAAAGCGAAAAGGCTGTTCTCCCCAATTGCAACAGTTTTGGGAAGGTCCATATCTCATTATGGAGAAGATCAATGATGTTATTTACCGAATAAGCAAGATCCCGAGAGGAAAGCCGATGATAGTACACCATAATCGGCTGGCGTCTTTCGAGGGTGACCACGACGTAGATGAAGAAGTGGAAGTAAACCAAGTCCAAGATGTGTCTGACCTCACGTTTCCTTTTCATGCATCACGTTACCTTTTCTACCTGGTAATAAAAGACACTGCCCATGACCAACCTAACTACCGAGATGTATGGGAAGCCTTACTTCAATTGAGAGAGCACATACTAGAGTCCGACGTGCAAAAGTTAGCCATGCCAAAGTTACAGTGCCGCCAATTAGATTGAAGGGTTATCCGAAATATGGTGGAGGAGATCTTTAAAGATACCGAAGTCCAGGTGTTAGTCTGTTGCAATCCGCATAGTTACTGGTGCGGAGAGAAAACCATCCCTTGTCATTTTTATACAACTGGAAGTTGTAAAAGAGGGTCTAGTTGCCGATACCAGCATGCCATTCCAGTTCCAGTCACGACAAGGTTCCAGGAGGAACCATCTTTTAAGAGGGGGCAATGTTACGTAAAAAAATATATGAGTCATATTAAAAACCGTAAACATCTATTACTAATATTCCGTTCATTCACGATTTTTCTAGGTATTACCTACCTGACAGACGATAGGTTCCCCTCCGCTATAAAAACAACAATCGAGCTTTCTGGACCAACCATTCGCCGCTCTGTCTACGACGAGAATGCCATCAAACTTTCGACGATGTCCCATTGGCTTCATATAAATAACGGGGATTTTCATTGAGGAAGTCTGTTAGAAAAGAAACTCGCGATCGTGTTTTAAAATTTAACGCACGTAAATTATGTAATTATTAGTAGCAAATAAATTGTTGTACAGTGATTTAATAAATTGATAATAAATGATCGTATTTTAGTAAATTAAAATAAGAACAATAAATTAGAATTAATAAAGACTTTACAATATATATATATATATATATATATATATATATATATATATATATATATATATATATATATATATATATATATATATATATATATATATATATATATATATATATATATATATATATATATATATATATTAACACCCTAATTGTTTGAATACGAGTGAGACACAATCCACGCATGTTGAAGTAGCGAGTCTAACTTTTAAACAGTGTTGCAAAATTTCTGTTTCATCATTCCTTCTAAAATATTAGTCGGATACATGCGTGTAACATATATTTAAATCCTCTACAATTAATTGTAGAATGAAAATTAATATTGTCCCAACAAAACTTACATGAAGTAATCATGTAACTGTTATTTTTTAAATGATTATATCATTACTTGATTAATTAACAAAAAACACTGAATTGAGAAATTGATAAGTGACAACAGCGTTAGCTAAATAAACAACGCACTTCAGTAGACAGACAGATAGTATAAACGGTGTACCCCTCTACGAGTGCATGCAAAAGAATAGGCGCTGCTTATATGTACAGCAGGTTTATGGTCTATCTATTTGTTTTTAGCTGTGGTGGTAAAAGGTTGAAAACAAATAATTAACATGCCAAGCGTGTATTTTCAAGAAGAAAAGATTCAAATGATAAAATGGGAATTATGGGAACCATTCTATTCTAGAAATAATACAGTTATTTATTGCTGCTTTTGAAAATCGCTTAATTCTGACAGAGAAAACAGTATGATCAAATGTTAAAAACTTTTTTCGGTTGCATAAATACCTGTATGAAATGTCTTCCAACAGATCAACCACGATCGAAACAAATTTTTGTTGAACGCGAAGCTCGCGAAGTGCAAGTTTGTTTAACTACTGAAGAAACGCCTTGTTCGAGTAGACAAATTGCGGATGAAGTTGGCCTAAAGGAGAGAACTGTAAGGAATATTTTAAAAAGAAATAGATACAATTGGTATAAAGTGCAACCCACCCAAGATCTTTTTCTGGACGATCATTTTAAACGTATGGAATTTTGTGAAACTATGATGGAGAAATCGAATGAGAACAATAACATTTTAAAAAATGTTTTGTTTTCCGATGAATCTTCACTCAAATCCATAAACGTCATAATCCATCTGTCGTCGGCTATTGGTCTAGGGAAAAAGACATTTGAGTATTGCTGTGAAAATACAATACCCAAAGAAATTAAATGTGTGGACTGGTCTTTTTAACGAATATAATTGGTCCATTTTTTATTATGGGAAATCTGAATGTAAGTAAGTATTTAGATTTATTACGTAATCAGATTATTCCAGTATTTCGAAAACTTGCGGTGAACTTCGATGATATCTGGTTTCAACAGGATGGTTGCGCAGCACATAATGCAATCGAAATTACAAGTTATTTGGAACAAACATTCCCTGGACGATTAATTTCTACACGAGGAAGATCATCAGATTACAGAACTAGAAATCAACAGAAATAGAGGTCGACCCCCAACGACATGGACAGATGACATAAAAAGAGTGACTACAAATTGGATTCAGATGGCGCAAAATGGAAAAAAGCATGCGAGAGGCCTATGTTCAGCAGTGGACGTTAGTATATATATTTGGGTATTAATAAAATTATTTTCAGTATTTTATTTTTGTAGAGACAATATACATCTTAATATACATCTTGAAGTATTGTATTGAATATGTAATCCCTTGCAGCTTATGAGTAAATATGTCAATTTTAAGTTTTTTGTGATAATTATTTGATATGTTTTGTGGCGTATGTTTTTCTGATGTCTTTGAGAGAAATGATAATCCAATGTTTGGTTAATTTAATCTTGAGTTCCTTCATTAGTTTCAGGTTAAAACTCATTGGCGCCCATTTTGCTTTACGATTTAGATTCCATATTTTGTTATCCAAAAATTATTATCTATCTGTCTTTAATCTATATTTTTCTATCATCTATATCCTTACCTATCCCTAATGAAGCCCCTGACTTGAGCAACGTGATGTTTTTAACTAAAACCACTTTTACATAAGAAAAGTACGGGGTCCTATTTATCAAAGATTACAAAATAAAAAAAAAAGTATATCAAGGAAAACCTGTGTACTATAAAGTTAAAAACAAAAGAAAGCTTGTGAGTGATAAGGAGATGCTAATAAGATGAAAAGAATCCTGTTATACAATTTTAAATGAAGTACCCAAAACAGAATATAACGAAGAAAAAGCTGATGATAAATAGCAACCAGCAACAAGGTACCAAAATGCCCCTAATGAAAAAATCAAAGAAATAATAGAGAAGTCAAAAATAATAAACGCCCGGAAAGTGATGTAGTAGCGCCCAAAATGTTTATGGTATTGCTTTGGGAACTAGCCCCTTTGCCATATATCCTGTTTTACTCAAGCGTTAATTTTTGATATCTCAGATATTCCGTTTGCTGCATCTGCACATGAATTTTAATTGTTTAATTATAATATTTATATAGTTACATTTATTTTACTGTAATATTCACCTACACGGAACAACCAAACACTGTTTAAACGTTTCGACCGAAAAATCCTAGGAGCATATATGGAGGAATCAAAGAGCAAGGTTTGCGCAGGCTTTACAATGAGTTTTCGAGAACTTGACGTTGTAAAATTCATTAATATAGAACGCCTTAGATGGATATGGCATGTAATCAGGCGAGAAAGGCCGAGACTTAGGTATCCAGACAACTTGGAAAATTATTTAAAATCGACTGGAGTTAGAGCATTGAGAAGAGTTACCAGAGACAGCAGTGAATAGAGGATTGTTCTGAAGAAGGCGTTGGCTCAAAACGAGCTGTGATGCCACTGATGATAATAATTGATAGTATTTATTATTATTATTAAGTATTATTATATTAGTATAATTTTCAATTTTATTAATCCTGTTTCCATTATTTTTTTATTTATTTATTTATCTCATTTTTATTTCACTGGCATTTTGGATAAACTCAAACATGATGAAAGGGTAAATTAGGGAAACATTAGAATATACACAAAGGAATACTTATTTTAAACATTTACTTTTACTGAAAGTTTCATTAAAATTTGTTTTAAAACTGACAAAAGTTTTGTTTCACAGATAAGCCTTGTAAATTGTTTTAATGATATAGTTGCTTTATTGATTATTTTACCAAATTTATATGTGATAAGGCGAAGATATAACAGTTATTTATGCGCCAAGGGTGTTATTAAGATGATTACACCCGAAGAGCAATATAATCCAGCCAAAGGGGGACTGGCTCGAGGGATAGATGTAGCTTGATGGACGCAATCATCCAATAACACCAATGGTACGTACAAGATTTTATTTTTCACTTCACATAATATAAAAAAAACTTCGTTCTATAACATTTGCTTTTTTCTTATACAACCGGGCGTTATAGGCAATAATGCTAGCCTATCATACCCTAGGATATAACAAGTGTGTTTATGGTAACTTGATCCAAGCTAAAATGGACAAATACTATGCAAGTAAAAAATAAATAATAAATTAACATATTGTAATTTTTTTTATCTTTTATTTTTATTATTTTTTATTTTGTAATCATGCGAGGAGTAAGGCAAGGATGTGTGCTATCGCCGACTCTTTTCTGAGGAGATTTTTAATGAAGCCCTCACAAACCTAGACATGGGAATCCGAGTGAACGGTGAATACATCAATAATATCCGCTACGCCGATGACACTGTGTTACTAGCAACCAGCCTAAACGATCTGCAGGCCTTACTAGACCGAGTGCGAACTGTGAGCGTAACATACGGACTGAACCTCAATATTAAGAAAACTAAATTTATGGTTGTCAGCCGTACAAATTTAGATCCCGGGGCACTAATGGCAGGTAGCGAAGAGCTCCAGAGAGTCGACAGATTCACTTACATCGGAACTACCCTCAACATACAATGGGACTACGCTCAAGAGATTAGATCCCAAATCGAAAAGACAAAGAAGTGCTTAATTTAACTAAACAACGTAAGCTTGAGTACCTCGGCCACGTGATGCGGAACGAAGAAAAATATCGAATTCTTCAACTCGTTATGCAGGGTAAAGTATTTGGCAGAAGAGGACTGGGACGCCGTCGTATCTCGTGGTTGAAAAATCTCCGACAATGGCTTGGGATGACCTCAGCGGAGCTGTTTCGCAGAGCAGTCAACAAAGCCATGATAGCCTTGATGATCGCCAACATCCGGACCGGATAAGGCACTGAAGAAGAATTTTTTTTAATCATGCCTACAGTCCATAATGTATTACTCAACTAGTAAGTTTCCAGTTAAAAATAGGCAACAACCAATGCTAAATATTCAATATTTATAGTATATTTGTGACAAAAATATTTGATTGTGAAGTCTATATCTACATAATCTAATGGAATACTTACTATTACACAGTTTTTACCAATATAAACATAATTTCCTACAGTAGCTGCATTTACAAGAGATTTTTCTCCAATATAAACATGATCTCCTATTGACAATGGGAAAAATGCTACCCTAAAAATATACAGATAATTAGTAAATCAAATGTTTAGTAAGTTGTCTTAAGCAGTTTAAAACCGATTTGAAAAGGTATATGAACATAGCATTTTATGTCACTTAAGGGGTCGGCATAAGTCAGACAGCAAATTTGCATTAAGAAAAAAAAAATGCAGCATCAAAATGAATTTATTCAAAGAAATTATAAAAGGGATTCGAAAACGGGTTACTGTAAGTGTTCACATTGATGTCCATCTTGATCAATACATTTACTCAATGTTTCGCAAAGGAAAGGCAGGCCCGGCGAAGCACGTCAAGCTGTTCGCGAAGATTTTGGAAATCTTCTTTAATTGCAATTCGGAGGTCGGGAAGGGTGCGTGGTCCTCTTGCAAAAACGCTAGCCTTGAGAAGGCCCCACAGAAGAAATCACAGGGTGTCAGGACACAAGACCATGTAGGCCACTCAACGATTACTTGTCTGCCTATCCATTATCCAAAATGAACAACAATATACTCCCTCACACATGTCACGTAGTGCGGCGAAACTCGATCCTCCATGAAATGACAGATGTTCGCGAGTGTTTGATCATTGTCCATTTGCCCATGTAAATCTTCGAGCAATTCTAGATAACTTTGGCCCGTCACGTTACCCTCAAAAAAGTACGGACCCACGAGATCTCTGGCATGGATACCTGCCCACACACACACCCCAAGCAGGCTTAATTCTTTTTCAATGAAGACGTGAGGATTCCGGTCGTTCCAGTACACGTACTTATGCCGATTTACCTTACCGTACCGTTCAACGCTGGAACTGCGGATCATCCTGACTGCGTCCGAGGTATCACTCGCAAAATTCGCAAAAATCGTCGTAAAGAATGATTGGATATTTGAAGATCTCCCGATAACCGCACTGCAGATTGGTTCGGATTTGCATCTCGGGACAGCCAGTGAGGAGCCGCGACTACGTGTTTATAACAGGTGCCAAACGGAGTTAACTAACATTGATATTGAGCAGTTTAGAATTTAACTAGTTTGAACAAGCTTAAAATTTAAGAATGTTCAAAATTTTTGGCAAATAAAACAAAATTCAGTATGTTTGGATGTATTGAAACTTATTTTTTTTTGTCCAAATTTTTGAATATTGTGAATGAATAGATTATTATTAATTCATAAATATACTTAAAGGGTAAAGATATATAAGATATGTGAATTAACTTTTTCAAAATTAGAACAATATTTAGTCATTTTGACGTCTTTAAATTGTGAAAATATAAATACAACCGAATATTATATAATGTAATATAATATATTATATGATAAAATAAATTAATTATATGAAATCACAGATAAACATGGCCGTTTTAAAGCAAGTTGATATCAGTCTAAGCAGTCTTAGAAATATATGAGCAGTCTGGAAAGAAGAACATGACACATTTTTGCATCTGCATCGGCTATAAACACTTGTAGTTGTGGCAATGCACAGGCTGTCCCAAGACGCAAGTTTGGTTCGGCTGCTCAACAAACGCCAGCGGCACTGTTTCCATATTTTCGTTAGTTTCGCGTGGGCAACAGAGCTTGTTTTTAAGAATTAGTAGCGGTGAGTTCGGAAATTGTTGTTGAAATTCAGTAAAAATAGTTTTATAATCCGCGTTCGTACTAAGATACGATGTAACAAAAAAAACTCTTTCTTGGAGCGTGAAGCTGTATTAGTCATTCATTCTTTAGGTACTTTACTTAATGTACCATTTAAAGTATTTAGTTATTAATGAAGTGTAAAAAAATCTATTAGGGTAAAAGGGTATATTTTTTATTTTCTTGTATGTCTAGAAATTTAATAACCAATACATACATATCGATACATTTTTGGCAAAGTAACGTAAGTCACCAAAAACGATTTGTAGAAAAAACAATTTTTTAATTCAACCTGCTTAAACTTATTTAAATTATGACTGAAAAAACTTGTCCTACTTGTCCTAAAAAAGGTTTAAAGTAATTATAGGCTTACTACACTCTTTCAGTACCTTTTTAACAGTAATAGCATTAGTTTAATTAAAAAACATTATTTTCGCCAAAAATGTCACTTACGGTACTTTGCCAAAAATGTATCTATATCACGATGTGACAATGACCAAGGTAAATTCTTAATTATTTTTTCCTTTTAGTATTTTTTTTTTATTTTAAATAACATTTAGTATTGACAGCATTTTTAAAAATCAATATTTTACCAGGTCATCGAGATAAAATAATTAAATTGTTATATAGATAGATAGATGTTTTGAATGTGTACAAACAAGCAAGGAAAACATTCATTTTCTGTCTTACTGTATGGCTGTGAAAGTTGGACTTGAAATCCTAAGGAAGATCTTTGGACCCATCACTCAAAATGGGATGTGGAGATCTAGATATAACCATGAACTCTACCAACTGTTCAAAGAAGCACCTATTGCAGAGTTCGCTAGAGTACAAAGGCTTCGATGGGCTGGTCATGTGGTACGGATGGATGCCAACAGATTGCCAAGAAAGGCCTTGGATGGTAAAATGCAGGGCAGAAGACCAAAGGGAAGACCACGTAATAGATGGGAGAACGAAGTCACAGCAGATGCGCACAACTTATTGAACGTCAGGGATTGGAGACGAGTGGCGCGGGATCGCCTTTGTTGGAGGCAGAAGTTACAGGAGGCCAAGGCTCAATTTGGGCTGTAGCGCCATTGGAAGAAGAAGAAGAAGATGTTTTGAATGTGTACAAACAAGCAAGGAAAACATTCATTTTCTGTCTTACTGTATGGCTGTGAAAGTTGGACAATGGACTCTGAAATAGAAAACAGAATAGATGCCTTTGAGATGTACATATACAGACGAATGTTGAGAATTCCATGGGTATAAAAGTTACTAATGTTGAGGTACTTCGTCGCATGTGTAAACAAAAAGAATTACTTACTAAGAATTAGGAACAGTTAATTTGGGCATAAATCAACTTATATGTATATATAACCTTATTTGTTCTAGTTGAGAACTAATAATTAAGTCACACTCTAATAGCCCCTAAAACATTTTAAAAACAAATATTCAATGAAATTTGTCAGAATTTGGAGAAAGGTAATTCACATTAGTTCTGCTAAGATGATCTATGAGAAATAATTTCTAAATCGGAAAAAATGATTCATCTACGGATATATCAATATATTATATTTGACTCACCCTTTACTGAATTTTTTGTAGGGAGGTCTTAGAACTGCTTCTTTACTAATAATACAGTACCTTCCTGTTTTAACATTCGCTAAATCGCCCCTAATTATTGCATCGGACTGAACTATTACTTTTCCCTGTAAAACTATGTTTTGAGACCCACATAATACAGTTTGACGACACACCTTGTTACCTGAAGCCTAAAATGATAACCAATAAAAATGTATATTAATATATATTAAACAAATATTTCTAGTTACCGTTTCTACATATTCTCCTTTGTCATAATTTATATCTCTTAATTCCATATTACTAGTACAAGTTTCAATATTAAATATTTACAAAATTATTAAATATTTATATGACAATGACAATATTTGGAATAAACATAACCTTAATCTCTGAACTCTGAAGTTTGTAGTGGATTCATCGAGCAAAAAGATAAAAGAGGGAATCTAATCGTTATGAAAAGGAGACCAAAAAAGTGGCCTCTGATGGCGGACATATCCGGAAATGGAAAGGCGCTAAATTTAAATTTTCCAACACTTATTAACAATAGCTATAAAATATTTTTCAGACGAGAAAATTTTAATTAAATATTAACTATAATAGTCTAAAAAGTGACACAATTGGTAAAAGATTTCAATATAAATAAAATTTCATGTGACAGTTGGGACAAACAATAACATAACCTAACTAAATTTGACTTCTTAAACAAGGAAAGAGACTGTCTATCCTTGTCTAAAGTGGCCTCTCAAGATGGCACTTCCTGTCTATCAATATGTTTACCCCCACTACCTTTACATTCCCTCTTTTGTCTTATTGCTCGATGAGTGGATTAATAATAGGCCTTTTCATAAAAAAAATGTCAGCCATTTTTTTCGAACAGACTTTTTTAAATAAACAGGTTAATTTAGTAATATAAATAATATAGATAATTAAAATAAAAAATACCTAAAAAAGTCTAGTTATTGAAACCATTAAAAATCCATTTTTTTAATCGATTAGTATTACGAAAGTTATTAGTATATAATTAGTACGAAAAGAACAGCAATAAAAATAAAAAAATATGTATTGAACAAATATTTCTTTTTCTTTATAAACCAGCAAGGATGACGAATAATATGTATTATACGTCATTATCAAATTCATTTGTACGTGTACGAATGACATGTCAGCCAATGAAAATTAATGATTTTTCACAGAATGGCAGAAGAATGTAAACTTGTCTTTGATGACTGCCATCCATGGCACAGAACTACAGAACAACATTCTTTGGTTAATCTCATCGAGCAATAAGACAAAAGAGGGAATGTAAAGGTAGAAGGGGTAAACATATTGATAGACAGGAAGTGCCATCTTGAGAGGCCACTTTAGACAAGGATAGAGAGTCTCTCTCCTTGTTTGACATCAAATTTAGTTGGGTTATGTTATTGTTTGTCCCAAATGTCACATGAAATCTTATTTATATTGAAGTTTTTTAACAATTGTGTCGCATTTTAGACTCTTATCATTAATAATTAATTAAAACTTTCTCGTCTAAGACACATTTTGAAAAATATTATATAGCTACTGTTGATAAGTGTCGAAAAATTTAAATTTGGCGCCTTTGCATTTCCGGATGTGTCCGCCATCAGAGGCCACTTTTTTGGTCTCCTTTTTATAACGATTAGATTCCCTCTTTTGTCTTATTGCTCGCATAGCACACTACCACCTAGCATTGAAACTTCCGTGTTGACGAGTAAAACAATGATTGGCGCATCGCCTAGTGACCGGGCGCCTAACTATAAATACATGGCGCGAAATTCAAAATTTCTGTAATATTACCTAGGATTGTGAACTCATTTTAAAGTAAAGGAAAATCGATATAATCTTAAAATAACAAGAAAAATCCTTATCCTATAGATAATAAATATTTTTCGTATACTTTTTGGGTTTTCTTGTTATGTTGAGACTATATTTATTTTACATTACATTAAAATGCCAAAGTGGTCAAAAAATTAAAGAATAAAATATAGAATAAAATCTTTATTTATAAAAATATTACAAGAAATGTTATATGTGTTACAAGAAATATTAATAATACAAGCCAAGTGTACTATAATTTAGTTTTCTTAATGTTGTGGCAAGAACTGGTCAGTATTTAAATAATTGTTTTGTCTTAGTATGTCAAGTTTTATGTAAATAGAAGCCTTCTGTAAAAGGCCTTTTACTACAATTTTATTCTCAAAATTTGCAAAGAATTCAAACATTGGTATATAACATTCAAGATATTTTTAGAAAGCAATGAATCTAAAGATAAATCCCTAGAAGACAAAATAAGTACATGCTTGTAATAAATTTAGTCTATAATTACATAAGCGAAGCAATCAATGGGGAAAACCAATTGCTTTTTTCACACATACTCTCACAGATTCAGAATGAAAACATGCAAATGCATTGAAGTATTAAAAAAATGCAGACATTATCTGGTAGGAAAGCAATTCAAACCAATCACAGATTAAATCACTATTTTGTTTATATAGAATGCTGGCATATATAAAATCTGACAAGGTGAACTAGCTTTACTTCACAAGAATTTATTAATTATCTCCACTCTAAAGGAATATTTCAAGTAGAACAACACCATATAACCATGAAGGAAATGGTTAAGTTGAAAGATACAATGAGTTATATAGAAATTGGTGAAGCTAGCATTGAAAACCAAATATTTAGACATCACTAAATGAAAAACTGCTTTACCAGGAGCTCTGTACTATATAAGAAGTTTACTATTGAATTGTTTATATTATTGAATCACGATAATGATGAAGATGAAGTCCAAATAACACATTAGAGAATTCCACTACTAAATCAATGCCAGATGTGACAGAAAATTTACCTGTTCAAAAACCTGATGATAATTATGAACCAAGATTGGAAAATTCAGATTTTCAATCTAGCTGTAAATCAGCTGGAGCTAAAAATAAACCAAGATAGTTGCAATATTTTGTTCACAAATAGGGAAGGGTAAATGTAGTATAATTTAGTGTTCTAAATCTTGTGACAAGAACTTGTCAGTAATTAAATAATTTTTTTGGAATTCTAATGTCAAATTAAAGCCTAATAAGCAACAGACAGCTGTCAGACATTCTGAGTTCTTTGTAGTACTTACATCCTAATCTAATAACACACACTACCAGTGGTCAGTGAGAACTCTTACTGTCTGGCGTTCTACTCACAGAAAAACAGATTTAGTTCTAGAAAGAACTTTATATACATCTATATGATAATATTTTAGTCATATTTAAACCTATAAACCCAACAGTTAGCTCTAAGATTCTAAGATCCAGCACTATAAAGATGGAAAAATAACATTAAAAATAAAAAAATATGTAAAGTATTACCTAGTTACAATAATAATATGAAGTATTTTACAAAGTTACGTTTCCAAACTCTATCTTACCAGTAACTCTTTTCTACTAATATTTATATATTTATTGAGAGACATATTAAATACATTTAGATTTAGGTTGTTCTTTTGATTAAAAGTACATAGATGAGACAAACCATGATAATATATGGTACTCTAAGACCAATCTCACTCACAAGAGAGAGACAGATCCCTCCTCGCACTTAACGGCAAGCTCATGGACCTCTCCATATGATAGTGTAGTCATGGTCTGCTAATCTAATCCAACTTTGAAACAGGCACACCTGTAGAAATTATGTCGAACCCTCTCTAAGGTGATGATTTTTTAAGATAGTTGTTGAACCACCACCTACAAAATAATTCAAATAGTAAGCAAGTAAGTCTGATTTTATAATTAGGTTAAATTTATAATTAACTAATTTTATAAGTAAAAGGTCACATACATACATATATTGGCATAATAGTTCTTACCTGGTGCTGGTAAAAACAAACTCAGAAGGGCTGTTCTCGTAATACCGGTATGTCCAACATTAATTATATCATCCTCTTTAAAATGACTAGCGCATACACGAAAATTGTTATAAATAGTTTCTGTTGCAGCATTCTCTAATTAGGGCTTTTAACAGCATTCACCCATTTATCAAACATATCCATATTATAATCTCCTGGACTTGAAAAACGGTATTGCTTGCCAGCGGTAGTGTGCTTGCCTAGTATCCATGCAATCTGGAATACATCTTTTTTGTTCAGTTCTTCGTCACTATATTGTTATTCCATGTAATGTGTTCGATTCCATAATAAAAAATCGTCTAAAATTTTACCTTTTTGCACTACTTATATAAAAAAATTTAAACTATAAAATAAATTATAAAAAATAAAACAAATAAAAATATGGCGCCGTATTTGTCTAAATTCAACTTTTGATTTGACCACAGCACACTCCCTACGCGTAGAAACGAGACTAGCAGCGCCACCAAACGAATGGGCGCCTAAATCCGAACGTGATTTGACATTGCCTATCCCTGTTACCAATCTATAAATTTTATCTATGATTGCTCGATGGTTAATCTGTAAGCAAAAACGTATTATATAGAATTTAAGAAATAATATGTATAATTTAAGCAATAATATATTGAATACATAGGATGGAAATTAGAAATAAATAATTAAAATATAGATGAAAAATATATTTTTGTAAATAACTGTAATATAAAATATTGTTTGTAATTTTGTTATAAAAATCTTTTAACGAAATATCTTAAATGAATCCTTACATGACCTTGAAATTTAAATAACAAATAAGTTTTGACACTGACTGGCCTGACTTTCTTTATCGTAATCCCTAATATTTTTAATTTGCAGACATTTTAATAATAACGAAGATATTAAAAATAATTATAATCACCGTCTTCAGATTTTTTACCTACAATACAACAATACAGGAAAAGTTACCATGGTAAGATGTAAATCACAACATAACCTTTTGCAAAATTTGAATTTTGAATACTTACTTTTTTAGGAATGACTACTATTGGAAATGTAGGAATAGGCCTTTTCATTTTAATTATACTCTGGATAATAACATTAGTTGTCTTTATAGTCAGTATAAAATTGCAAAGCAATATTTTCTTGGATAAGTTTAGGGTCAGCTACTGCTATTACCATTATACTATTAATAATTCCCACTGATAAAGGAATACCTTTGGAAGAGTCTGAAGTTTTTGTAAGTAGCTACTAACGCAGTGTGTAATGTTTGTAATAATTATTTTTTAGGAAAAAGATTATTGTTTTATTTACAAGAATCTTCTACTATCAATATTGATATTCAGTGGCTTACTTGGTTTTGGAAGCTTTTTCATTCTACATTGCACAGTTCCAGTGCGTCCAAAACCTATACATAGCGCTTATTTAGAAGAAGAAAAATATGAATAAAATTGTGATATCTCTTTTGACTAAGAGAACTTTTTCCTCTAGTACTGTTCTGAAAAGAATAATTAACATAACAAACAATGATGAGTTCCTTGCAAAAGTTATGCATTCAAGTAACCCAGTTATAGTTAATTTTCATGCTGAGTGGTGTGAACCATGCCATATTTTGACACCAAAGATGAAAGAATTGATTGAACCTAAAACTAATATAGATTTAGCTATAGTAGATGTAGAGCACAATGCAGAGTTGGTAGATACTTTTGAAGTAAAGGCTGTGCCCGCTGTAATTGCTGTCAGAGATGGAATTGTGGTTGATAAGTTTATTGGTTTAGTAGATGCAAATATGATAGAAACTTTGATAGAAAAACTGGACCAAAAGTCATGATACACATTTTGTTATTGTTGTTAGTAATTATTTTAAGTAAAACTCTAAAATGAATGACTAAAATTTGATATGTGTAGTGGTATGGCAAAAGTTGGAAAATCCAAAAGATGTCAAAATCAGTCTAATAATAAATTAACAACTCATATCTAAAAATTTTTTTTTTCAAAATTCAGACATATCACTTTTTGCTAAACCACTACATTATAAGTATCATAGCAATTATTTTTTTGATCATGTATTTTCCTATCCTGAATGTTTTCGTTACATATGAATGAAAATATATTCCCTTTTTATTAACAATTCATTCAAAAATTCCAATTACCTTTATGTCTATAGTTTCTTTACACCACTAAGCCTTTTTTACTTGTCATAACTTCTTTAGAAGCAGTTAAAACCTCATGTCTAATTTTAGTAAATTTTTTAAAGGAAAAGCCAACATACATAATTATCAAAGAAAGAATTACTAGATGTAGGTTCAACTCTTCAATGTTCAGTCTTGGGGCCAGGACCAATGATGCCATTCTTATTCAATGGCTCAATAAGAGTTATTATGATATAATAATAATATAGATATGATTCAAACAAAAATAACTAAATTTTGATAATATAGGCCAAGAAAAATATTTGTTTTGGCAAGACTTGCAAATTGTCCAATTATTTCCTAAATGGAATTTCACTATGTTGAAAAGCTGGTTAAACTAATGAAAAATGACAAGAATTTTCCGAGTTTACTTACTCTTTGTTGACTTTATTGGTTGTGGTTTTATGTTGATTATGCCTTGTGTAACGTATTATGCTCTTGTATTTTATTAATCATTGTGTGATGGGATATGGGATCATGATCTGCACAGAAATTAATTATATCATAAAAATAAACTAAGGGTCTCATTAGATACATAATTAATCATATTAACTTGTTTCTATATATAATTTCTCCTCTGGTACAAGTCTACAATGTGATATTACAGATAATTTTAGCAAACTCTTGTTATCAATTTTTATGTAGATATATTTGCACATGTTATTTGTATGTGCTGATATATACATTTCAATGTCTAGATGACATTGAGCAGTCTTGTGAAAGATTAGGTTTGACTAGGTGGAGACGATGTCCGCCCTATAGAGAAGAATGGAAGAAAGTTCTTGGACAGGCCAAGTTTACATATATTACATTCTTATTTTGGCTTTGCACAATATCTGATTATATATTTCTAAGTATGAGCCCTAACAACTATATCGATACATTCCCGGCAAAGTAATGTAACTGACATTTTTGGCGAAAATCATGTTTTTCAATTAAACTAACGCTGTTATTGTTAAAAAAGTACTGCCAAAGTGTAGTAAGCCTAGAATTACTTTAAAACTTTTTTAGGACAAGTAGGACAAGTTTTTTCAGTCATAATTTAATTAAGTTTAACCAGGTTGAATTAAAAAATTATTTTTTCTACAAATCATTTTTAGTGACTTACATTACTTTGCCAAAAATGTATCGATATGTTGGAACAAGCAGTTATTTTGCAAATAAAATACCAATTTATTGAAATTCTTTTATGTTAATTTTTTTTAATTGTAAATATGAAATTAACAACATTTATTATGATATATGGAATTCTTTTTACAGTTTAATTATGTAATTTTTGTTGATTATGTACTATTTAATTAGTTGTTTGATAGCCAAAACATGCTGACAACTAAATGTTGGAACAAGAGGATTTTAACATATTAAAATAAATATTAATAATTTGTAACATCACCCTTAGATTGAAAACAGCCTGAACTCTATTAGCCATTGTACTAATTAGGTCTTAACAGAATTCAGGGGTGAAACTATCTCATATTTCTTGTAATTTTGCTTGTAGTTGTGGCAAAGTACACTGAGGGTTATTTCTTAGGTGTTGTTTCATTTTGTGTCAAAGTGCCTCTATTGGATTAAGATTATGGCAGGAGGCTCCGTCCTGCTGAAAGATAAAATCTCTGAATGGATATAACTATGCCGCACTTGGTAGAGGCCAATATTAAAGGATATATTGACACTTAGCTGCGTTTACTATGGCCTCAATAAAATGTAATGTTCCCAACCCTTTTGCCGACATACAAATCCACCATGATGCCCTGTGGAAATTTTACAGTCCTTTAGAGAAAATGCTTATGGAGTGTTTCTCGAATTACACTTTTTGCCGAATCACACGCTCTCGATAAGCTCCCACACAGACATCAGATTTGCTCTTCATCGCTATAGATAACTTTGTCCCAGTTATGTTTGGTCCACGAAAGTTTTGATTTAGCTCAAATGTAACGATTCTTTTTTTGAGTTTCCGTCAGCAATGGTTTTTCATTGGCCTACTCGAATAAATCAAAAAACAGAAAATTTATGTTGCAAAGAAGAAACCATCAAACATACGTTATAAAAACTAAGACCGCTTTTGTGAATATAGTTGCAACAGGATTCTCTGGAAACATTCATCCCAGTTTCTCTATTCCTTTTAACGGTTTCTTCTCGTAGTGTATTTCTTTTTCCAGACTTACGTATTCGAATTAAATGCACTCATTTGAGAAACAGCTTTTGGAGGGCCTGAGCTTTTTCCGCAAACATCAATACTGTCAGTTTCACCATATTGATTAATTATATTTAACACCATAGTTGTTGCTACAGTCAATTCACTGGAAATTTCATGCATTGTTTTCCTTTCATGGTACTGATGAATAATAATTTCTCGAAGTTTTTGATCAGTAGGGTTTCCACGTTCCATTATTATATTTTACTCGTAATAAAACTGACAGTTGTCTTCATTCATACTCAAATGAGCCATGGCAATTATTGTTGACAACACACTACCTACTCGTATGTTTGGTTTCAAAGCCTTCTTTGTGTCAAAGCAACAACATTTAGTTGTTAGCAGTTTTTCAATTATCAAACAATTAATTACATAGTATTCAATAAAAAATATATAATTAAGCCGCAAAAATAACATCCATACATCATAAAAAATGTTAATTTCATATTTACAATTAAAAAAAATTAAATAAAAGAATTTCGGTAAATTGGCATTATATTCGCAAATTAACTGCTTGTTCCAACATATAGTTGTTAGGGCTCGTAAATGTATACAAACTTTTTTACCAGGAAAGTATTTATTTTCGTAAAATGAGGATCAAGCATTAATTTTAACTATGTTCATGATTTTGTTTTCTTGAATTTGAATTTAGATCATATCCTGTCTGTTATCAATATTTTGATTATGAATTCAGTTAATATTGAGTTGAGGAAAAAAGTAACAAGTCTCTAGCATGTCTCAAATTTGATATCACACACTCTTTGATTACTATGACATAACGCCCTGCCTATCATTTAAAGTCCATCTGGAGTACTCACGCAGTAGGTCCTCTCCAAATTGGTGCATCAAATGAATAGCCCCCCTCACTCTTATCTTTGCTGCAGATCCCTCAATATTTCCATCTTTCTGACAATTCTACTATAACATCTTCACTTTGTTGAGGGCTCGGTTCCCTCTATGCATGATTGACCAGTTTTTGTTGTGGTCCACCAATGCATCTGCATATGCTATTGCCTGTACACCCACAATTTCATTGTACAGAACATTCCAAAGCAATGGCCTGAGGATGTATCCCTGCAGTACTCCCGCAGTTGCCTTCAGAGTTACCCGTCGCAATGTTGATGTATATAACTGTGAAGTAGTCTCTGACTATGTTCTGCAGCTAGGGAAATATCCCAAGTCGCCCACTAGTCTGACGATAATTTTCCAGAGAGCACTATTAAAAGCATTTCTTATATCGAGGAAGAAAGCCACCATCCATCTGCTCCTACATATGGATATCCCCCTATTGATCCTGCTTATAGAGTCTACCGCAGATTTTCCTTTCCTAAACCCATACTGGCGGTCGGATATGCCACTTTTCTCTATTATCTTCCTCTCCAATCTTGTCTTCACAAGAATCTCAAAGTCCTTGTCAAAGGCATTTAAAAGTATGTAGGTCTGTACGCCCTAGGATCCTCTAATTCCTTTTTCAGTTTTCGGGATCAGTATGAGATTTGACGTTTTTCAGTTATGGGAACTCTTTCCTTCTAGTTGGTTGTTTTTACATATATATATATATATATATATATATATATATATATATATATTATATATATTTATATATATATATATTATATATGTAAATATATATAAAAAATAATATTAATTTGTATCTGTACGAATATGAAAAGTAATTGTCTAAAAGAAAATAAATTCAGCCTTTAGACTCATATGTAAATTTTTTTCATAGCAAAATTTTTTCCTTCGATAGCTACAAGCGGAGGAGATTTAAAAATGGGTGTAAATTCCGTAGGTCTTTTGATAATATCCAATCGAGCTATAAATGGTAGCAAAAATATAGGAAAAGAAAAATAGGTACTTACAAGATATTTTGGCCGGCAAACATATCACGAAACGAAACTTTTCACGATAACTTCTGCACGTGGTCACCAACGTGGTCGCATATCTTCGTTCAACCAACTGTCTCTTGCTTCTCTTTGAAGCCAATCCATGTTTATGCCGAATGCCGAATTACATCGTTGCCACATGTAACGAGGGGAAAAGGGAACCAGGGAAAAGGACATGAACCAATTAAAGCTCGACCTGGCTCGTCTACCAATGAATGATTACCGAACATTCTCCCCCCTTTTTAAAGGCCAAAAGTCTTTAAATTTTCAAAGCAAACTATATATGAAATAGTGGTTTCGTTGGGCGCAATTTCATCCATGAGCCCGAACAAAACAAAACGTAATACTAACTCTCCAAAATTGAACTTACAAACTAACAAGTTAAATAAAAATAAAAAAGAATTATTATCTATTCCTCGTCCAAAGGAAGAGGACACAATTTGACCAATGGCCGCTTCAAAACGCCACGGGCAGTCCGAACAGTAGCGACTCTAGATACTCCATCTTTACCCGGGTGTAACTGAATCAAACGGCCAAGCGCCCACATGCACGGCGACAAATTATCCTCTTTTAACAAAACTAACGAACCGATTGCGGGTGCA